GTAATAGAAAAGAAGAAAGTTCTCCACCTGTTGAATGAATGGTGCAGGACACTCTTCTTTTTACAACTGTTGCTACATCTGTAGGTTTTGTAGTTTGCCTGAAATCCGCTTTTATTCCTCTAATCCAGCATGCCGCTCTCTCCTCTTCTGCCTTCTTCCTTCCTGGGCTCTTCCCTTTGTCCATAAGCTTTGCATTCCCCTTGTCTTGTCATGCGTATTTGCTGGAGACTGTATGGCACATTGACCTGTGGGGAATAACAAGGATGGTTAAACAGATTGGGTCTGCCATTAGATACCATGGATTTGAGTGCCTCTGTCATGCTCTAGCGTTCCCTTTTCCACCCAGATAAATGTGAATCTTCCCATCAGAGCATTACTGGAGAGCTGCGTTGACTGGAGGAGGCCTCCAGAATTTATTGCAAGTGAGGCAGGCAAGCATTGTATAAAATGTCTTCAAGTTGAACATTTGGTCTTACTTTCCTCTGTATGTAAATATAGTGTTTATTTCACAAAGAGCAATATGATTACTTACAGCTGTGATGTAAAAGTGATCTAAGAGGTGAAGACTATGTAAGGTGTTGCCAATACCCTTACGGTTTTGTCTATACAAGTACACAGTTAAGTCAAATGGTGGAAACCCAAAATTTTTTTCCATAGGAAATTTAAATATAGCAAAATGAAAATTATTTCAATGGAGGTGGAAGAGGAGATTTTCCTTTAGAATAATGGTGTTAAAATTTTGTTTAGAAAAACATCAAAATGACATTTTCATGATGAGAGTTTTTAGTAATCTCCAATGTTTCCAGAATTGAAGCTGTCCAAATATAAACCATCTAAGTTCTATTCAACAACAGTTTGTCTGGTGATCTGCGAGGGGACCTTGAATGCTTTTGGTCTGCAGTTGAGGTAGGTATTTTGGTGTGCTGTGCTGGCACCAGGAAAACCTTGGAATCCCACGTGCTTTAAACCAAGTTGGAACAGAAATATTACAGCATCCCGCAGGACACTGTCAAAAAAAAGACAGGGATTGTTATCAACTTCCTATTTCGTCATTTTAAATAAATAAATAAATAAATAAATTGAAACAGATTCTTATCAAAGGGGGAAGGGAAAATATACTTCGCCTTTCACAAACTGTTTTAATGGGTGTGCTAGATTTTTGTCTAGCACACATCTATATAGAGATGGAAAGGTCTAACATCACTGATAGGACAAAGCGTTCTACCTCATGGGTTTCTGCTTCTTACATTCATTGATGTATTTGTGGAATTCCGAAGGCAGAGGGAAGCCACAAAAAGGTCACAAAACTGCAAGCCAAGGTAAACAGCCTGTCAGAATTTGTTTAGCAAATGACAGTGTAAACCACAGAAAATGTATAGAAAGGAGAGGAAAACCTATTCCCTTGGAAAATACATTTCCTGGTTGGAAAGGCATTGAAGTTTAGAGTCGCTTACATCACATCCTTGCTCTTTTCCAATAACTTGTCTTTGTTCAGGTTGTTAATTCAATCCACGGTCCCAGGCACCTAGGCCATAGGGAAGAGGAATACATGTTCTGCAGCGGGTATAAGGGAAGGCATTTTGAGCATCATGACTAAAGGCAAAAGCATCTTTCATCCCAGGAAAGGAGACTGGACTACCTCTTTGTCATCAGTTTTACTTAGTAATATTTAAATAATGTATTGAACATAGCTACAGCACCAGAGCATTTCTTTAGCCATTGTCAGAGGGTTGTGTTTTCTCCTTTGTACAATGCACAAAAAAAGAAGGATTCTTTGTTTGGTTCAGCATGCATTTTAGCATTTTTCACTCCATTACAGATGGAAAATAGCTTCTCAGTTCTTGGTTATTTATCCTAGTTTTCTTGCATTTCAAGTACAAGCTTCTCTTGATGGAGAAATAATTTTGGATGGCTATGCTGTTGTCCCCGCTGTTCTTCAGCCCTGTGACGTGAAGCTGCAGAATTATGTAGCACAATCTTGTAAATGCTAAAGCATCTGAACCACTTTGTTTTGTTGCTTTTCACAGCAAGTTCAGACTTCAGTCCAGATGTGCAATGCAAGGAATTTTAGTTGCACAGAAGATTCTTTTGGCAGGCTCTTGCAGCACATTCAGCCCAGATAACTGACAGGAATAAAGTTACTGGCTAAAAATGTCATTATGTCCAGGAAACATGTGAGGGACTTCTTTCTGTTGATGTAAACAGAATTTCTAATGATTCCCCTTGCTGATAGTGAAATATCTATGTTGTGTAGGGAGCTACACCTACATCTGTGTTGAGCCGTAAAAAAAACAATACTCATATCTCATATTTGCTTTTGGAAACAGAAATTTTTGTCTACAGCACCAGGCTTGTTTGTTGAACATAAAAGAACAGAAATCCTCTACAGGTCCTGAGGGAGACATTGCAGAAAGGGTGTAATCATTATAAACTGTGCTGTATGTACTGTACCATGTTGCCATGAGAAAGTTGCATTCGATTGGCTTAAAAAATAGGTTTTAGTAAATCCCTTAAATAGTGATGTTGGTAATTGTGCACACTTCAGTGCAGTCCTAGTGAGTGCTATGTAACAATTAGAGCGTTTCCAGATTGATCGCTTGGAAACAAGTGGATTTCTGGTGATCAGAATGGTTTTAGGGTGGGGTGACTGAGAAACCTCTCAATCAAGGTAACACTGATAACACACAGAAAAATCAGAAATATTTTTTTATTAGAAATGACAGCGTGTTTAGAAATACCACATACAAAGATCAAGGAGAAAGGAATTGAATATAGAAGAAACACCCCGACAAACAGAATTATCTGGATCTGTCATGTATATCAGAAAGCTGAATTCTATTTGGGTTTTTCTGAATACTTTTTTTCCCCTCTATTTTACCTCTCAAGTAATGGAATTAATTAGCATTTATTTTAAGGGTCTAGGATTTAAACTGTGAAATTTGAGTTTCTCTTTTACTTCAGAGGTACCAGGAGACCAAAAGGTGCGATAGAGAGTACTCTGTAAGTTATATAGAAGCAGTAACACCTATACTATGCCTGACCCCCCAGACGTCTTAAGCTTAAGTCAATAAATATAATGATTGACTTCTTCACTCTTTGCAGATCAGACAAGTAGATAATTATTTCATATTCTTAACTAAAAAAATAAAAAAGATTATCTTTAGAAACCTCATAAGCCAATCTTAAAAAAAAATAAAATTCAGTGCTCAAAAGCAATTTGATAAATGTGTTGAGCCCTAAAGTCTTAGTACAATTAATGTACACATTGTTTTTGTAAGAAGTTGTATACCTGATCATAAAGTGAAAACACTGATAGATCAGTTAAAGTAATTAGTTACTGTTTGGGGGAAGAAAAGATGGTGATAAAGTAATTAGTATCATAAGTTTAGCAAAGATTTAAAACTGTGGTACATGGCAGTAATGGATTTTGAACACAGTTAATGAGCATATTCATTGCATTCATTTTTAATTAAGTGGAGAAAATACTGGTCCTTTAAACGGAGATAATAAATGTGCAAGTCAGTCTTGCACAAACATGCAACACAAGAATTTATTGCCTGCTGTCTAACTAGGGAGCTGGGAATCATTATAAAGATTAGCTTTACTGAAAAAAAAAAAAAAAATCCAGAAAAAGCTTTAGTAGAAAATGTTTATGAGGTAATAATTTTCACATTAAATATTGCTTGGCATATTTGGTAGAGTGTGTGTGCATGTTTTTTAAAATATGGGTATTTGCTATTGCCAGAGGTAGGACTGTTTGTGCCCTTGAAAAGGATTGAATGCTATTTACCAGTTTAGATTTCCATGAGACGTATTTAGTATATGACTACACATGTAAGAGAACAAAAATATCAGAAATCTTGAAACTTTCTCAGAGGTGTGTCATGCTTGTGCTTAGAATACAGGTGGTGGTTTAAAAGTAAAACAATGACTCGGAAAGCTGCAGCTGTGAACTTCCAAATGCTTGCCGTGCTTTAACCGGTGCACTCTCGCCTTCCCGAAGCAGCGGGCTGTGCTGCTGCTGGGGCTTGGAGGGTTTCAGGCTGCAGCAGGGGAAACCCAGCTGAAATGCTTGGTGTTTATTCTGTCAGTGGGCAGCTGGGGAACTGACATGAAACAGGTTAAAGCCCTGCAACCAGACGTACCTTCTAGAGCAGTGGCTTTCAATGTTTTTATGACTTGGGAACCCCCTAAACATTTCCAGTGGAAGCAAGGACCTTTGTGTGGCATATTGAAGCTTATTGATGCCAGTTGGCTGGTGTTTCTTAGTTACCTTTCATGGATCTATTTCAAGTTGTTCACAGATCCCCAGGGATACCCAGACCACACATTAAAAACCGATGAAACTAAATCAAACTTAATATGGGTCATTCTCTTGAAGTTCCCAACCCATATCTCTCTTGTCAATATTACCAGAATATCGGGTTCTTTCTGACACACAGTATGTCTAGGTCTTCGCTCAACAAATGTCTCATTGGGATATGCATAAACTCATAAATGTGCTTCCAAGTTTCCCTAAGCCACCTTAACCTTCAGGGGCTTATTCACCACTGGTATTGCAAGAGGGCAAGTTTTCCATACCAAAAAGCCCTTGAACTTTCACTGGTGACACGCAGTATACCGTTAGTGATATTGCAGTATGAGTTACTGTACCACACTTAGGCAATTTCAGTCTTTTTTTCTCTGACTTTATTCTGCCCTATCCCACATGTTGTAATTGCTTTCCATAAAAGGAGCAAACAAAACTATACTCATGGGTCTTTTCAAAATGCTAACTCTGCTTTTATTTTTTTAACCTCACTGCATGATTTTATTATGTATTTAAGCCAGTAGCAACTTGGAAGCTAAGTTTAAAATAGCTGGCTTTGGTAGCATACTTTTAGCATTAAAAACAACAAAAAAAAAGAAGTTGCAAACTGCAGAGTCAGATCATTGATTAAAGCAGGAAGTTTGTAGAAATTTTATCAGTAAATAAACATTTGATTTTCTTTTCTGTTCAGGTATGACTTTGTAGAAGTTGAAGAGCCTAGTGATGGCACTGTTTTAGGGCGCTGGTGTGGTTCCAGTAGTGTGCCAAGCAGACAAATCTCCAAAGGAAACCAGATCAGAATAAGATTTGTGTCTGATGAATATTTTCCTTCTGAACCTGGATTCTGCATCCATTATACACTTCTTATGCCAGTAAGTAACATGTTTCAGATTGGAACATTTCAAGAAAACAAAATCTTTGAAGTGGTAGCTCAAAAGAATCTTTTAATAGCTTAGGATTAATTACTGTTTATTTCTTAATGATAATAATGAGCAATCTGTCTTCCAGAATAGGACATTTTGTTTCTGTTTTTTAACTAACTGAGTGTTCTTGTGGTTCTTCTTGGATGGCTTTGGACTGGGAAGTTGTGGGCTTGGTTGTTTGTGTGGAAACTTCAAGAAAATGTTTGCATTCCTAATACAGTACTGTGAAAAAAAATTTTTTTCTAGCTTTGAGAAGAAGAAAAATCAGCATAAGTATCAGCTGTGTGACACTGAAAGAGCATTGGGAAGTTACAAAGAAGATTGAAGAAATTAATATTTTTATTAGTCAGCTGCTATTAGACATACACAGCCAAATCATTATACTTAGTTCCAAAACAGAGAAGTTCTTATGCTTCTGGATTGTTTTATTATAGTGACAAAGCAGACAATGCATAATACTCATTTCCCACTGCATTTTCGCTGGAAACTGTACTTTAGACTTCTCTTGAATGTTGCTTAATGCTTGTAAATTGCAGGTATTAAACAATAGTCATTGTCCAAAATGTGACTATTTTCACTGTCAACAGATTTTTGTTAGCTTTTTTCACCAAATGAAAGCTCTGTGATAGCAAAACGATGTTTATAGGTTTTTAAGGATGAGATAATGTTCTGAAACATTAGCGTGGAGCAGAACAGGGGTTGACTTGTTTTAGAATAGGTATTCCATATTTAAAGAGAGTAAGGAGTATTTTTGTTAAATTCCTCATAATTCACTTTGTGAATCTCCTAAGTAGTCCTGTGGTCTGTGGTATTTGGTTCGTGGAAAATATCTGCAAGCTCAATATAAAAATTGATCGAAAGAATCCATGTTGTAACCCCACTGACATGCGCTTCACTCAAAATGCATTTGGCTTGCTTATTGCTTTTGCCATTTTTGCCTCTTCTCCCCGTTTGCAAAACTTCAGTTACCGAGAAGAAGCAAAGAACAATTTCACTTCTCTTTTCAACAATATGTAAACTTCTACATATTTAGCATACTGATGATTATGTCAGTGAAGTGTAGTAGCGTGCGTGTGTGTGCACATATATATGCATGTTATTTTCTGTTGTTTTTCTCTTAAGTATTTTTAAATATTTAGGCCTAATTAAGAACTATTTCTAAAGTGATTGAAGGTTTGATCTACATATTTGACTCTTCTGTGAGTTAGACCCTTTTGTGAGTAGAATAGTATGACCTGATAACGATGAATTTTGAAATTAAATAAAATGTCAATCAGTCTCCAAACCAACTTGAAATATGCCCAGGTTGAAACCTTCATACACCTGAGGGCAGAATGTAGTAAGTACGTTTGCTTTTAGCAAATGGTAGAAGAAAATCCCTAAATATATTTGTGGGCTGATGCCAAATTTTGTTGTTGCAGCTCTAGTATTACATTCTACCTGCTACATATCTGACTTATGTATAATCCAATTTCTGTGGAATGGATTAAACAAAGGCACCTAAAAATACCAGAGTATATGTATAATTATCTTGATGTCATGCTATTCAAATGGACTGAGTTTATTCCATGACATTTTATGGGGAAAACTGGTGTTAAAGCATTTAAGTTATCAACACTTGCAAAACTATTCTTTAGTCTTCAAAATATTTACATCACTTACTCAGTAGAAAAATGCATCCTACGATGTCAGCTCTGTTTTTTTAGTTTCCCATTTTCTTCCATTAACAAAGCTCATATACCATAAGAAGTATACATACAAGCTGTTTTAGAAACCAAGCATGTTATCTCTCACATATGTAACAGGCAAGAGCAGCCCCCTTCATCTCGTAGGAATTCAGAACTAGCCCCAAAAGGTGCAGTATAAGAACTGCTTATTGGTTGGTGAGGATTAATTTCCAAATCTCTCTTTAAAAGGGCTGTGATCTTTTTCATCAAAATTCTATCTTAATAAGCCATGCAAAATACAATTTCACATTTCAGACTGCAGATTGTAAATGAAATCTATATTGCTGAGTTTCAGGATTAGACCTGCTTCTTGTACCTAAAGGAACTGAAAACTGATGCCAAAAATGTGTTTTTCTTTAAAACTATAATGCTGTCTCATCCAACATTTCAGGAGAAACTAAAACTTACAGCCCCCCCCGCCCCCCTTCCCGCAAAAAAGATGTCAGCTATAGGAATGAGTGTAAATTTTAAATAATTATTGCAAAGACATAACTGATTCGCTTAGTGATTCACTTCAATAAATTGGTCCTAAACAGTTAATTTTTTTTTTCCCCTCATTTTTTGACAAGAGGGGGAGGGGGAGATGCCTGGTAGACTAGCAATGAGAGATTGTTTGGGGAGAAATGAAGCAAAACTGAAATAAAACAGTGCAAGCTTGTTTCTGTATTTGGAGGCCACACACAGAGAGGGGCACCGGACACATTTTCAGGTCTTTTAAAGAGCAAGAGAAATGGCTTTGTTTAGATCTGCTGTAATTTATCGTATATATATATTTTTACTTTGTATATTATATTTCAAACCAACTTTTCACATGATGAATATGTAGGGGGAGAACGACTATTGATCTGATTACTTTACTTCTAAGATTTAGTCACTCAAAAGGACGCGCAGCAGTTCCACTGTCAATAGATGCAACATCATTTTTTAGAGAGGTTTACCGTGGGATTGTGAGGCACCGCATAAAAACAGTACACGTACTGTATACAAGCAGCATGCTCCCCGAGAAAAACATGAAGCTTTTCTTCGGGTTCTAGCTAAGTACCGTTTAATTATTTGAATTTCTTACATTTTAAATTGTGTACCCTGGGTACATCTAGAACTTTCTATAATTCTGGTCTAACTCCACTTTTCTTTCCTCTGTTCTATAGTTGCAAGTTAATTTTGTCTGGAATACCGTAAAGTGGAAGGAAGTGTTGAAAAAGCTTGTTCTTACGAAGAAAATGTAGTTTGTGTTATTTCAAAATTATTATACTACTTTCAGCACAGCTGTTATTCTTAGTCGCTCTTTCATGCTCTGTCCTGTCACTTAGTCTGTGCTTACTGGGGAGCTGCTTTATTCACTGAGGGCTGCTTAGCGGTTGTTCTGCATTTTGACTGTTCAGCTATGCATTTATTAAAAGTCATGTTTTTTGGCAGCAGAATACCACCTAAACCCTCCTAGAACTTTATTGCAAAAACAATCCATATTTCATTTCTTTTCCCCTTCTTCTCACTTGCCCTCAGTTACAGCTCTAATCCATATAGTAGCCACATGCAATTGAGGGAAACCTTATAAACTCTTATAATATATGTTTGGGCTTCAGTCTTCCTAGTGACTTGTTTAGTTTAAATTATGTCAGTTACAAGTTTGGCAGAGAAAACTTGATGTAATAAAGTCCATTGTTACTTGGGGAGCGGGTGAATGGGATACTTGATGCCTGAGGTGCCATTAAGGAATGCATGACTGATTGCCAAAGTAGTTATTAATTATTCAGGGCACTCAGAACAAAGCAGCTCCAGTTAAAGTTGAAGCTGGGGGTGACTGTATTCCCCTTCTTTTTTGGCATATGGTAGCATGTCATTTGTCATCAAAGATCATGCCAAAGATCTTTGCAAAGAACAGACTTAACCCTCTTCTATGCAAGTGAAGATGAAGAGGAAAACCCAAGCAGCTGCTTAATGACTGACCTGGTTTAAAAGTGGCTTGGCAGGTGTTTTGTGATTTTGGTGCAGTACCTGTATGGCTACCTGGATTTCAATCCAAGAGAGGCTTTTTTTTTTCCTTTGATGCAGAGATGCTGTTAGTAGTGCTCTTGCTATTAACAGTAATGAAGACTAAATTTAATACTGTGCAGATAATCTGTTTAGGGCTATCTAATAATTGTTCCTTTATTTCATCCAAATCGGCTAAGCTGTTCTCTTTTAGGGTTGAGCACGTTAATTTTGTTTGTGGAGCCTTCTTAATTGAGCTTGTTTGATGAAAAAGGCAAAGAAAATTTAAATACTAATAGAAAAAGTGCATAGTAATAGAGAAAGGAAAGCTCTTACCTAGTGTTCCCTTTCTTTCAAAAGTCCACAGATTTCACAGATATCAGGTGTGTATCTTGCATGTCAGTACCAAAGCCCAGGAGAGGCTTAACTTTGGCTGCAATAACTGAAAATCCATCCAGAAACATAAAGGACATTCTTGATCTCCTAAACAAAGGTTTTTCTACACTCTCTTAAGAAGTAATCAAAAGATTTTGGAAATAACACGATTTCAGGGTTGTTTAAGCCAAGGTGGTATGAAGCAGCAGGAGAGTGTATGAGTGTTATTTAGCGCTTTGCAATGCCACATGAAGTGAAAAAGGACTGTGAAAATCCTTCATATGATGGGAAGGACTCAAACAAAACTTCTGTGTTCAGAGTTTCCACTGATTAGGTATAGTGAAACCTAAGCCTGAATAAATCAACAAACTTCTAAAGATGCTCCAGCATGCAAATTCAATCATTCAGTTCTTTTTTTGTGTGTGGCAAAAATTCATTGTAAATCAGAGAGGTTTTTGGACTAATTCTTTCCCTGGAGATGAGATATTGCATTAAATTTGTGCTCGAGGTCTAAAGACAAATTCCTTTTAAATTTCTTAAATGGAACATTAAAGATCACCCCATGTTGTGGTTTAACCCCAGGCGGCAACTAAGCACCACGCAGCTGCTCGCTCACTCCCCACCAGTGGGATGGGGGAGAGAATCAGAAGAGTAAAAGTGAGAAAACTCGTGGGTTGAGATAAAGACAGTTTAACAGGTAAAGCAGAAGCTGAACACACAAGCAAAGCAAAACAAGGAATTCATTCACTGCTTCCCATCGGCAGGCAGGTGTTCAGCCATCCCCAGGAAAGCAGGGCTCCATCACGTGTAATGGTTACTTGGGAAGACAAACGCCATAACTCAGCCCCCCCCTTCCTTCTTCTTACCCCAGCTTTA